CAGCTAACCGGCGGCAAGTTGTCAGCTCCGCAATGCAGAACGCCACACAGAACGGCCAGGCTCACTTCCGCCACAACTGCACCATCCATCACCACGAACCCCTAGCACTCCTAGAGACATATCCCTCACAGAAAACACATTCATTTGGACACATACATACATATTTACATACATACGGACCTGTGGAAAGGTTATTTTCAGTCTTAGCAGCCGCTGCGCCACCTCGCCCGTATTTGCTGCCAGACGAGCCACTAGCTTGGGAGGTGCCTGCTCCAGGGACAGGGGGCCGTAGCCACCGCGGAGGAGGGCCCCACGCGGGTCCCAGGAAGGGCGTGAGGGAGCTGGGAGCAACAACAAAAGCCGCATTGGCCGCCCTGAGCACCTTAGCACAACCTGGCCGGCCCGATCGAGTCAGGAGGAGGAGAAGAGGAAGAGAAGGAGGAGGAGGAGGACGGAGAGGAAGAGGACGGAGAGGAAGAGGAAGAGGAGAAAAAAAGAGTGGAATGCATGGAGGCGAGGAAGAGGACAACACTGCCAGCCTGAGGTGCCCCCTTAAGACCACTGCACCCGCGCTGTCCCCCATCACCGGCCCTCCCACCGACCCCCACGATACCTTGGCCAACCTGGACTGTAAACCCGGCAGTAGAGCTCCTAGCTGCTGTAGCCGCTCGTCCATGTCCTCATCGCTAATGCCCAGCTCATCACTGGCGATGCGCTACAGGGAGGTAGGAAGCGGGGGAGCTAAGGAGGGAGAAAGTGGAGGGAAGGAGGCATCGGCATGCAGGGAACTCATTGGCCCCTGGTCTTTGTTAGCACGTGATGCCATCACGTGCCAGCCCTGTTATCCTAGCCAGCCCTATTGACCTCCGCTGCCCTGAGCTTCCAGCCTGACCTTGATGAGACGAGTTTTAAGGTCATCGTTCCAGTAGACGTTGCGCTCGTTCATTTGCCAGCCCACCTTCGCGTGTTGAGTACGTGGGGGCCAGTCGGCTTTGTTGTAACCAGGTTCGAGCAATGAGCAACAGTATGTGGACGACGCAACGCACAGGGGTCGCAGACAGGGGCCATATGGAGGAAAGGGTTAGTGGGGGAACAGCTGGGGAACGTCCATACCTGCCATGGGGCTGAGGGCCTGCCGCTGGCGGAGCCCGGCAGCTGCTCAGCAGGGGTTTCATCCAGAGCTGGGAAAATATGCTCAATTGTTGCCTGTTAAGAGGCGGGTGCAGAAAGTTGCATTCCAATAACCACGGCAATGCTTCAACGCAGATTTATCCGTTGCTGCCAGGTTCTTACTTTCTGCTTTTTGCCATCCGAGTCGTTATATGGATATGCTTTGGCTGATTCTTCAAGTGCAACTTTAGCGCTGACGCCCTCAGAACTTGATGACTGTGCACAAATGCGTCCAGTGTGGGCGGACCATGAGAGGTGTAGCGCCTCTGTTGTTGATAGACTTCTCGTTGTCAGGCAATTCCGTTTGCACAAGCGCAATGAACACATCCGACCAAAACCTGGTCGCTGATTGTGAAGCCCTAAGTCTGCTTGCATTCTTATGGTTGCAGTCAGACAGGTGCTATCTATACTTAAAACATTTCAAGGACTATCTATTATAACTGATTTTCATACAACGCACCCCATTTCATTATAACCCGTACATACGGTCTCAGGCGTGCCTACCCCGACATCCAAGTTTAATCTAATGCGTTTTGCTTATCCTTTCTTAGATTGGACATTCACAGTAACACATATAAGCGCGCAGCGAGCTCTGGTCAGGTCATCCACCCTTTCCTAAATCTAGCTTTCTGCTGTAGCGCACATGAGACCCTTCCGAAGGATCAGCCGCCGGCAACGTGCCAAACACTTATCCTTACTACCTTATGACGAGATGCTTAACATGAAGGGCCGACTGCAAGGCCAACTCATCAAGGACAGCACACCTCCACATGGCAGGCTCGCCACCATAAGCCAAGAGATGTTCCCCAACCACCAGTACACCAAGCAATTTTTTTACAAATTAGTGACACTCTACTGTACACCATCCCCACTTTAAACACGGGATGAGAAGCGGGCGGGACACATGCCGGCGAATACAGACTCAACGACTTAAGACTAATCTACAGCTTACGCCCCCAAGCCCACGAACTTCCAAATGAGCGGGAGTAGTAGGAACCACTGAAAGACCCCTGCTTGGTCCACAAAAACGAGGACGAAAGAGCAGCGCAACGACATGACAAGTAACCTCCAAAACACGCGCACGACTACTCTCTTCTTCCTTCAAGAGGTGTGAGGAAGGCCCACTACAAGACCGAAACGCACACACATACACAGACGTGCGCGCGCATTTGAAGCACGCATAAAGGCAGTGACCTAGCAGACCAAAGCCAAGCCATAAAATGCGCGTAGCTAATGCATGCACGGGGAGCACAGCACACCAGCACAGGCGATGCGATGCTCGCCGCTGCCACCACAATCGTCCATCTCCTTACCTACCACCTCACCGTTACGGTCTCCATGACCAACACACCACCGCCAGTCCGTCCACTCGTGAAAAACTTCATCCCCTCCAGACCCCGAGTGCAGCAACGCACCCGCGCAAACATGCTGCGCCGCAACCAGGCGCCAGCCACAAATCATCTCGCGCCATGGCATCGTTGAAGAAAAGAAGTATCTCGCCACGCCTAGCCACAACCCCTTAAGAGCATACGATGACACCAAGCGAGACACGCACACCGATCGACCGACTGACAGGCAGAAGAGACAGATGCGCGATGAGGGAAAAGATCCGTATTTTAAAAATCCACAACCATCATCACCATCACAACCATCATCACCATCACGCACAGCGGCAAAAAAGGGCGCTCTAAAATGGCCCCGCAACAGCTCACGCCGCAACGCACACCACTCAAAACTTATCGAGGACAGCATGCCGAGGTAGCCAGGCACCGGCATGTGCGCCGGCCTCAAGAGGCCAGCACCGGGCTTGGCTCCTAAGCCGCCGTCGCCGCGCACACACACACACACACACACATATATAATATATCCCGAGAGGCTCCCAGCACATCCCAGACATGCACCCATTTCTTCACGCGCCGTGCCGTGCCGGTTGCGGCGCTCACATGCCCTAAGCCCTTAACCCGGTTAAACAACCGCCCCGCCCCTTGAAAGTGGGGCGGCCAGGAAAGAAAGGAACACACGCGGGCAGCGGGTTAGCGTAACGCCCGACAACCCAATATCCAGACAGAAAACAACCCAAAAACATACCATGCATCACGACACAAAGTAGACAAACGGACGACGCATTACAAAAACCACTGTACCCAAAATATGAAGACATTATGTGAAATGGATACAGACAGAGCCACTAAACAGACAGGCACCGTTTAACTGGCGGTGGAGAAGAACGACGCAACACCGGCAGCGCGGCAGCAGGTAGAGGCTGGCGCAACCCTGAAGAATGCAGCTCGCCCTGTGATCACCCGCGGCCTGGAGAGCCGCGGCTCAAATAAAGCCGGTTTCCACCTTTCTCTCCTTCCCTCCCTCATCCGTAACTGCCATGCACACATTAAACACCTAAGCATGGTGTTTCCTTGACACCCGACACACGCTCTCACAAAAGGAATCTGACTGTGCCTCTAAGGGACGGGTAATGCTTTTTATAGCCAATGTCGGCGAGGGAAGGGAATGAAGGAGTGGCATGAGCCTCTTAGCCATCATCGGCTGCAAATGAACACACATCGTGACACTCAAATCTAGGGCAAATCAATTACGCTGGCTAGTAGTACTGTGGGGCATATAAGAACCATCGAAATGACAGCATCGGAATAATGCAACAGAAAAAACGCGGACAAAGACGACACTCACGCACACATACCGAAATTATTTCCCAAACACCCATACCACACGATACACCGACGTGCAGAACTCCCAGAACATCTCTCTTATGATGCCGCCGCGTAGAATCGAACTACGGCGGCAGATCTGAGGCCGAAGATCAGCTATAGACCCCGACCAGGCTCGAACAGACAAGGACATAAAGGCACAAAGCGGAGTTGAGTGCAGCGGGGAAAGGACGAAATCGCCAAAGACACTGTCATGCCAGCGTCACTTCGGCACGGCGCAGCATCGTCAGCTTGCACCGTGGTAAAATATCTTGCTCAGAAAGCACGCCGCACAGTAGTGGCGAGGGGGGCCACGGAACGGACCCTACATCAACACGGGCGTTGCATGAATCCGCGAGCGCCGCCGTTCCCAGGCTCCAGCTGAACGTCCTCTCGCACCCCAAAACACCTCCACGACTGCGCCAAGGGCTCAAAAACTATTTGTGGACTGCAAACGTGGGGGGCGGCTGCGGAGACAAGCGCGCTCCCCTCGCATTTCTTTACTTTTAGATAACGTGAACAGCCACACAGCCACAGCCATGTCTTCCTTCACCGCCACCCCAACCACGAGTGCACAGCACGCATTGGACGGCTTGTGACGGCTTTCGCGTGCGGACAGCCCTGCAAGCTGCGACACGCTGCGTGTGGTCCGCAGTGCAGAGGGCCTCCATGGCTGGCGCATGCTAGATGCGGCACCCCATCCCTGCCGGTGGCCGCACGCCCGGACAGGTTAGCGTGCAAACACCAGTAAATGCGACAGTCTTGCCAGACACATGCAACGAGCTAGGGAGGCTAGGTCAGTTGAAGTGGCCGCGACAAACACAACGTCGCCGCGCCTGCGTTGCAACCCCCTCAAGTGCACTCAGCGCCTCAGCAACACATCTGTGAAAAAAGGCAGGTGTTCCGCAATATTGCGGTCACAGCTTAGCTAGCTAGGTAGCTAGATAGCCCGACATAAATCCGGCCCGGCACCAGAGACGATAGGAGGCACGCTAAACTGGCAGGCAGGTAGGTAGGTAGGTAGGCAAAGGGCCTCCCAGCGCACTGCCCTGTGCTGGACTCTGTCACACCTCCCAACTCCTTCCCTACTCTTATCGGCCTCTCCTTAAGCCTTCTCCCTTGGACCTATTCGTGTTGTGTGTATTGCGCCGCCGGGTGCCAGTTGTCCAATTCTCGACAACCGGTCATGTCAAAGCTGGTCATACATTTGCACGGTTACGTTCCAATAACCGACTAAGTCCAGAGGGCACTTCAGGACACCGTATGCAGGGAGGTCCAGGATGAGCCACCATAAAGGGTCTCGCCGGCACATGTGGCAAGGGGGAGGGTTGCCTTCCACCGCATCTTACCCCACAACCGCGGGCCCTAGGACGCCCAGCGAGGTAAGTCGCCTGGTGCGACAGACACACCGCGACTGAGGCCGTTTTGCTGGCGACTGCTGCATCCGACGGACGGACTTCGCAGCCTCTATGTGCGCCGGCGGAATCCAGGTGGCTCCAGGACAGAGCCGAGCCGAACTGACAAGCCGTACTGAGCTGCTCCGAAGCTTTCTCCCGTTAATTAGACCATCGCTTTCGGAGAGAGGACCTCCAGCGTATGCAGCGCAGCAATTCGCCCCCACCCTCACACCGCCACGATGTCAAATATCCCGTATCTCATAACCCAGGTCCGCCCGCCCGCGCGTAACAGCATTCGGCATAGCGCTGTGTCTCCGTCCTCTCCGCTGCCGCCACACTGCCGTTCGCGCGCGGTCCTGCGGGTGAATGGTGCGCCAGGGCCTTTACTTGCACCGGTCACCCCAGCTAACAAGCGGCGGCAAGCCTGCGCCGCCGATGATGACGCCAGCAGCAAGGCCGTAAAGGCTGCTAAGGCCTCGTTGCGGCTGCTGCGATGGCTGCTGCTGTGGCTGGAATAGCGGCTGGGGCCGATAGGGCATTGCGTATAACTGAGCGGCCGGCAGCTGCAAAACCGGTGGAGGCGGCGGCGGTGGCGGCTGCGGTTGCTGCGGCTGCAAGAGCAAACCCGGAGTGAGCTGTTGAAGATATTGGAGGTGTTGCTGCACAGACTGTGGCTGCGATGGCTGGGGAGGGGCGGGTTGCGGCTGTGGCAGCTGCGGCTGCGGCGCAAGCTGCCGCATGGCCTGCGGCGGTAATGCATACTGCATATTACCGTACTGCTGCTGTAGCTGTGGCTGCAGTTGAAAGGGCGACATTGGTTGCGGCTGCTGTGGCGGCGACTGCTGTGCGTGCTGCGGCTGCAACTGCGCCAGCAGCTGCGGTTGCTGCTGCTGTGGCGGCTGTTGCTGCTGCAATGGCGGCGACAACGGATGTTGCTGATGCTGCTGCATCGCTGCTGCCGCGGCGGCGGCGGCGGCAGCAGCGGCAGCATGAAGCTGCTGCCTCGCCAGAAGTGCCTGTGGCGCCTGTAGAGGCGGCGGCGGCGGGGGTATGGGCGCGCCCGCCCCCGGGCTTCGAACCTGCGTTGGGCCAACCCCTGCCGCGGCGGAAACCAGCGATACAGGCGGTATCCCGGCAAAGCGCCATTGCACCAAGCCACCCGCACCGCCACCAGCGACAGCAGCCGGCCCGGCTCCGCCGGCGCTGCCACTAAGCAGCTGCGGCAGATGAGCTGCGGCCGGCGGCTGCGCCGTAGTGTCGCTGTCCAGCACCGCTGCCGCCGCCGCTGCCGCGGCGGCGCTGGCGCTGCTTGCATTGGAAGCCTGGCGCTCCAGTCGGAGGATCTCCTGCAGCTGCATGGCCAGCTCCTGGAAACTCGGCCGGTTTGCGGGGTTGGGGTCCATACACGTCTCCACCAAGGAGCGCCACTCGGGCTCGCAGGCGGGTGGAATGGCCAGGTGCAGGTTGCCGTGCAGCAGCCCCGTGAGGATCTCCTGCGCAGTGAGGTGCGCAAACGGTACCTCGCCTGTGTACATCTCCCACATGACCACGCCCATAGAGTACACGTCCACCTTCTCCGAGATGTTGCCGTTGCCAGATACGAGCTCGTACGCCATGTACGGCAGGGTGCCGCGAAGATCCCGGCAGGAAACGTAGTTGCTTAGCTTGTGCTTGCTGAGACCGAAGTCCGCGACCTGGCGACGGCGAGGGGCGCGGCAATGGCAGATAGAGACAAGGTCGTGGGATCAGAAGCGCAGAGAGAAAAACAAACGGCCTAGGCGGGCTGCAAGGGAAAAGGACGGTCTCATGACCCTCAAAGCACCAGGCTTCGTCCCACCCAAGCGCCCGCCCTTCACCGTCCCTGTCCCGCCCGCTGTTCGCCTCGATCCAGCATGTAGAAGTAAATGCCAAAAGAAACGACGACCTGGAAAAAACTGGTTGCTGGAGATTGCCTAGCCACTGAATCCCTTATTAAGCGGATTCCTTTGCTGCCGTTCCCACACGTGACCAGAGGCGCGTGGGCTCATGTGCGCTGCACACGCAGAAGGAAACCCGGATACGCACACAGCGGTACTACCACCCGGAGTATCAAGACAGGCGACACAATTAGGGTCGAGCTTCTCAGCCCTGCGTCATGTGTATGGGAGAGGTTCCTACCCTACCGACTCCTTACCGACCTTGATGACCATGCTGTCCCCCTCTCCGTCCACCAGCAGATTGTCCGGCTTCAGGTCGAAGTGCACCACCGCGGGAGACTGCTCGTGGAGGTACGCCATCCCCAGGGCAGCCTACGAGGAAGCAAGCACACGACACCGAAGACGACGCAAGGCGGGTCAGCTTCGCGGAGTAGTATTCTGATCGGGATCTAAGAAATGGAAACAACCCTAGGTTGTTACGGAATATGTGTACAACATTGGAAGACATACAGAAATCCGTTCGGATTTGGCCAAGGGCCCAACACACTTTCTGTAACCTGACGCACTTTACCGGCGACCGGTCTTCAGTTCTGTAACGAATTTCCAAGCCTGCAAAACATGCTCGCTTCCTAAGCTCCAGCCGTACAAGTCTGCTCGCACAATGCTGCGGCTTAATACAAGGCAGAATGCCGTAACTGCCTTCTACCAAAGCCAGGTGCTACTGTTGTAAGCTGGCCTTGCACAAGAACTTGTGGTGAACACGTCTTTTTCACCACGTGCACACGTCTCTACCCTCAATAATTAATTAGTGCAACAGGTTAAGTAATTTCGTGGCCCATGATACAAGCTGGCCATTTTCTTCTGGAAGCAAATTGGGGTGGTGGTGTCGGGTGTGCGAGATGGCCCCGAGGGTCTGTCGACACACATTCCGAACTCTTCCCCCAGCTCTTGACTCTTTTTTGGCTTTACCTACTTCACAAGTATGCCAACGTCACAATAGAGAACACGCTTCGGAAAGTACCGGTTGCGATATAACGTTTCTGGGAGGCTAAAAGCTTTGCTAAGGTTCGTTAGCATCGTCAAGCGCTGAATCCGAATTGATTGATGTTTGACTGGAGGGAAGGACACCGCAATACATGCCCCTCCGTTCTTGTTTAATCCCAGTCCTGCCAGTTCCATCAACAGCACCGCCTTGGCGTTACTACTAGGGTTGCGCCGACCATTAGAAATAGAATTCTAACGTAGAATAATTCTAATGAGAAATCACCATATAAATGAGAAGGGCCTGCTTCTGGGATTAGAATGAGAAAGCTGTACGACAGCCTGGATCCTGCATTAGAATCGCCAAAAATAGAGGCTTGTGCATTATGATACTTGCATATTAGTACCTTACCTATAGATGTTACTCTGGGTCAGCTATGGCAGATCAAGCGGACAAGCCTGACACAAAGCAACCTGACCATCAGCCCGACAACATTGAAGTTTATAAGTATGGTGACAAGAATTTAGACGCCCCTGCCTACGGTAATGTTCTCAAAGAAGCCAAGGCAAAGCAGCGCGCGTCGTGGTGGGTTCGTTTCAACGTCCTGCTGACAGCTGGCGCTGTGTGGCTCCAATGCGTCCGCTGCAACAAGATCCTTAGCGCTAAGAATCCGTCACAAGTTTGCTCTCAGCACGTCAGAGCACGCGACAAGAAGCTGATGGAGGCGGCTGCAGGAGGCTCCAGAATGCCTCCCTCGCCCAGCCCGCAGCCTGGGCCTTCCACCACACCCTCCACCGCTCCCCCTGCTGCTCCCTCCCAATGATCCGTCCGCCGGCCCGTCCGCTGGCCCCTCCGCTCCTCCCGGCCTCTTTGCCGGCCCCGCCGCCGACCCCTCCACCGCCACCCCTTCCACTCCCCTCGATGCCTCTGTCAAGAAGCGCCCTCGCACCGACGGTTCAGACGTTCGCAGCTTCTACCCCTCTTCTGTTGCCATCTCCCGGTTCCTCTGGGGCCGTTGCGTACCCCTGAGTACTTGGGACTCTCGTTCTATTGATGTTCCTGACGCAGATTGTTGGGTTTGAATTTAGCATACTGGTGTTTGTATCCGTCTGGCGCCCTCCGTTCGGGCCTGGAGGCCGTTGCGTACCCCTGAGTACATGAATGGAATGGTTGGTGGGACTGCGTGCCTTCCACTATAGTGACGGCACGTTCATACAGGCCTTTCGGTTCCGTGAGGCAGGGTGGGGTTCCCAGACAGTGACTGAATTGCCCCATGCAACTGGCTGGAAATAACAACACTTGGCAAGGTTGGCTTTGCATTCTAAGGGAGGGTATAAATGGCCAAGAGGTACACCCTTCTGGGTTACGACCCCCGCCATCGACTTTCGGCATAAAAAATTGGAAGCGCCTGGATAACCATGAGCCGCCATGCCCACAAATTCTCAGTTAATCTTTCGCGCTGGGTGAAAAGATAGCAAAGTAATTCTCATTCTCATATTCTAATTTACTTCTAATTAGAAATGATATGAGAAGGAATTTTCTTCTACGGTTAGGAACAAGCCTAGTTACTGCTGCCTCACCTCGTCCCACTGACTGGCCACCCCGGGCTCCTCGAGACTACTGCCCTCTGCCCTGACCCACCACCTCTTTGGGCAAGTTGCTGCATTCAGGGCCCCATCCCCTTCCCGAGCCTCTTCCGTTCCCGTTTCCTCCCTCCCACCAAAGCAGCCAGGCTGCGTTGCTCTTGGCCACTGCCGCCCTCCTGTCCCCATACCAGCATCACCCGCATTGACCTTCCCTCCCAAGTGAGGCGCCATGCCCTAACACGCGATTGGAAATGATCCGGCTAACTCCTTCCTTCCGGGATATCGGACGATTGGCTGAGGGCGAAGTCCACTGTGAGGCAATAAGTTCTGAGGATCTCCGGCAAAATTCGCTGGGAGATCTCGAGATCCCATCTACCCACCTAAGCCGTAAGGCCAGCTTTGGGAGCCCTGTACTTCTGCCTTTTAACACTAAATATACTAGCATATACTAGACGCTGTCGTCACACTCTTTCGCTTAAAGCCTTATGACTGTAACTACAGTCTTATAACACCCCCTGTCGTTGCCCCTGGGAGATTTTCACCAGTTTTCAGGTAGTGCATGTCACCCACACGCACGAGAAAGATTAATTGGCCGCCCCTCACCAGCGGCCTCATACACATGGGCCGCGGAAAAATGCGCGATATGGGTCAGCCATAGCATGCATGTAGAGAGCAAACCACGTGTCCCTCAGGAAGACCCGTCGCCGAGCGTTTTGCAATGCCGAAAGGAGGCACAAGGCGATCCTAAGCCGGAGAGGATGTGGGTCCACACTCGCATCCGCCACCTGGAAAGCCTGACGGATGCGCTCAAGACGCCCCCACCGTGCATCATCCCTTACCTGCAGCGCAATCATGGCGCGTTGCCGCAGCGATAGCCGCCTGCCGTTTAGCGAGCGCAAGTATTGTCCCAGACTGCCATTGCGCACAAACTCCGTGATGATGCCGCCAATCAGCCCTGTGGGCGTCCCAGCGCCGCTGGCGGCACCGCCACCACCGCCGTTGTTGCCTCCTGAGCCCCCCCCACTGCCACCCTGGACACCGTGCGCCGGCGCCTGGGCGAGCCCGCCGCCGTTGCTGACGTTACCCCCGCCGAAGGTGGGCGCGTCGGGCGTGTCCATGACCAAGCCATACATACGAATAATGTTCGGGTGATTCAGCTTCGCCAGTGTCTCCGCCTCGCGCTGGAAAGACTCCGAATACTTGGCGAAGCGCTCTCGCTGCAAAAGGGCGCGAAAAACTTGGAAATTAATGAAGCGAATAAGAATGGACGATTAAGCAGGATTGGGGTCGCGCGAGGAGGATTATGAACCGCATCAGCCTAACTGGCCTTAGCATCACGACTTTGTCATGTAGGCATGAAGAAGGCAACGGTAGACCGCCCAATGCCCATGTGCTTACCTATCTCCTATGTGCGCACCATGCCACCGCTACACGTCCTTTACGTACACAGTCTCTAGTGCTGGGTTGGAAACACCGCGAAACACACCTCCAGGACTGAAAGCTCCAGTGAAATGCCAGCATTCCACACATCCCATCCCACCCACCGACAGCTCCCGAAGCCCAGCCCCGCTCTCCCTTACCTTGAGCCACTTTATGGCTACAATGCCATATGGGAACACTTGTGCCTGTGACACCTCTCCAAACCTGCGAAACAGACGTTACGTTACACAGCGGCGTCAGGGAGCAGCCGACACCAGCATTTCCACACTCGCCAAATGCAGTTTGGCAGACGTGCAGCACACCCCTCGAGTACCACCATCATGTATGACCGAAATCATTTTTGCAATTCTAGCATGCATGAACGATGCGCCCCTCATTCCTCCTCCCCTGAGCCCACCAGAAATCACCAGAAGTAGAAATTCACATCCCTTAGACTTAGAACTTGTGCCAACGACCTCAGCACTCGTGTCTGCTGCTGGAGTCGCTACAATCATGGAAGGTGAATCCCCTGTCCCCAGGCCAAGCATCACACGGTGCACCGCGCTGGTTCGTGCGATTATTGCGATTGCATTCCGTATCAAATCCAAGCCTCAGGTGTTGCGTTTTTGCATCGATGTTTTCACTGGGACTACCGAAATCGTGCCGACCTGCGGGGCATGGCAACCTACAGGGGCCCCCCATTCCATAGACCTGGCCACCAGGACTCACATAGACCTCATGCCCCAAGCCCAGCGTCACCCATGCTACCACTTACGCGCCCTCGCCAATCTTGGCCAGTATTGACACCTCCGACTTGCGCTTCTTGACCACACCCTTCAGCGGATGGCTGTGTCCTGACCCCGAGCCGAGATGGCTCAGCCCGTCCCCGCCCAGGCCCGTCCCCAGGCCAAGCCCGGCCCGTGACAACGGGTCCAGCGGCAAGCCGCCGCCGCCGCCCCCGTCGCCCAGAGTGTCTTCAAGGCCGCCCCTGTGGTCCTCCTGCTCCAGTATTGAACTGCGCTCCTTTATCCCAAATTCCTGCGTGATGCACAGGCGGCTGTCGCCAGCCACAATATCATTCGCAGGGCCCAGCAACATGGCTGCGCTGGTCTTCGCCCCGGTGGGAGCTGTATCGCCCGAATTCGCGTGAAGAGCAGGCCAATGAACAAAGGCCCCGGCCCCGGCACCACCATGCAGTGCAAGCCGATGCAATCCGCCGCCGCCACCGGGCCGGCTGCTGCCGCCCCCGTGCAGGGAGTCGTCATCCCCGAAAATCGTGATGCGAGACGGCAGCAGCGGCCCACTACCGCCAGCACCTCCGCCGCGGCTGTCATCGCGGCTGCTTTCTCCAAAGGCACTGATGTGGCGAGGGAGCATATCAACTGCCGCGGGCAGCCGCCCTAAGAGCCCGCCGGCACCCGCGCCGCCCATGCAACGGGTGCCGTTGTGCCCCGATGTCTGCTCGCCGGCCACTGCCATGTCAGCTGCACGCTGTCGCGTCACCCGCAACGCGCCATCGCTGGCTACGCTGCTGCGATTGCGAATCCCCGCATGGTCCGCGAGCTGCAGCGCTCGGAGCCCAGCGCCCACTGCGGCCGTGCCGGCATCATCTGAATCGCCATACGGATCCTCCAGCTCTTCTTCACAATAAAAGCCCATGCTGGACTGCAGAAGCGCGTCCGGGTATTGCTGGTGATTTGAACTCTGCCTCTCCTGCGTCTGCGTCTGCTGCTGCTCTAATGTACTTTGCTGCTCCTGCATCTGTGTCTGCTGCCTCTCCTGCGTACGCTGCTGCTCTACCCGATTCCGCTCCAGTCCGCGGTAATGCTGCCAGTCACCTAGTGCTTGGTCGCACCTCTCCCTACCCGCTCCCGCCAAGTTAAACTCAGGCCGTTCCTTGTACGGCGGCCGTTGCTGCTCCTGATGACAAGACTTTCCGCCAGGGGCATAGGTACCGTAATCAGCCCGCGCCCAGACCCCGTGGTGCCACTCGTTCTCCCTCTCAGCTCCCCCCGCCTCCGCCTGCTCTGCTGCCGCTCCCTCCGCATCCTCCGGCTCCTCCCCTTCATCCCACACCTGTTCCGCACAATGCTCAAGCTGCTCGGCATCCGTAAGGGTGCCAATCGCTCCTCCGTAGCACGCTTCCCCATACAAGTACTCCGCCGCGGTGCCCATGTCCGCGACGCCGTACGCGCCCGGGTGGAGCCCCTCTTGGAGCTCCAGCTCTGTATGCTCTTTGCAAAAGGGAAGCGGAGTGACAGGGCCCGATGCTGCCGCTGCTGCTGCCGCCGGCAGTACCCCGTATTGTGGCCTAGAGACCCCCGCATAGCCGCCACTGCTGCCGCTTCCGCTGCCGCCAGTACCGCTCTTTCCTTCACTTGAGGTCCCGTGTGCTGAAGCCCGTCTTTGCTGAGGCGGCAGGTGGAAAAGCACGCCAAAAGGAGGCTTCGCGTGGGTAAGTCCCTGCGCAGGTGCCTTGCTTCCCCCTACGCCAAGCACATCCCCTTGGCCACCAGACGTGGATGGCGCAAGGTGGGTGTTGACATGTGTCCTGCCGCTGGTGATACTGTTCATGCTCATGCTGATGTTGTGCAACGCCGCTGTGGCGGCGGCGGACGCAACGGCAGCCGCGGAGCTGCATGTAATACACAGACGGGGCAGCCGTGTGAGGACAAATACCTGAGCGTGGATGGATCCTGGGATGCAAGGACAACAAGAGAAACGTACACGTGCATGTGCACATAGCAGCTGCGATCCGGCGCTGCTGCTTACATGCTCACAAGTGACCCAAGAGCTGTCGATGGACGCACCTGGTGTGTGGTTCAGCGTCCGAAGATAATTGGCCAGAGGGGATGCTGCTTTGCGTGGCCTCGTAGTCATCCGGCTCACCCCAGTCACTCCAGTTTGGACCACATTCACCATGGTCACAGCTGCACACACATCCACATGTGCAAACAGTGACAACCTTTAAGCTGGTGCAACAAAGAGGGGCTTATAAAGGCGGTATACTTAAAACACGACCGTGTTGCCACGTGCTTCCATGTTGCTGCGTGCGTGTTTCTTGAAGCAAACACTCTTATGGACGTTTGCCAAGGACTTCAAAGGGTCCGTCACTTCCGTAGCGCACATGTGGAACAAACATAGCAGATTATCTAAAGAGCTTTTGGGAGCTTGGCGCACCCAGGGTGCCGCTGCTACTGGCTGTGCCGCGGCCAGTGTCGGAAGACCAACCTGGATAACTGCTCAGCTGCATAGCAGTCGTCAGCCAAGTCCATCAGCTCATCGCTTTCTCCCAGCTCTTCATCCAGCTCCTGCACCTCCCGCTCAAAGATGACTGCCCTGAAGACAAACACCTTGATGCGCACAGTTTTGACCGGCGTGCTAGGCTTCTGTAGCGCATTTTGGTACTCATCATACATTTCCTACGGACACGAGTAAATAAAAGGAGGACTTATCCCGTTGTAAACGAACTGAATACCTCGAGAAGCTCACTGGCAACGTCGAGCAATCAAACCGTCCACAAGCTTCGTTGCGAGCACCAGCAACCAAGCCATGTCACCATCTTCAAATTGAATGCATACTGTTTCAAAGATCAAGCCTCGTGGCCAGATAAAGCATCCGTGGCTATGGCGGCGGAACATTCAGGCGGGGAACTGCGAGGAACCCTCCCAGAAACGCACCCGCAGGTCGTCATCGCCCTGAACTTGCACGAGGTTATCTGGATCAACATCGTCACCGGGGCACAGATACTTGAAGCTGACTGTATCGCCAAACTTGTCGTTGAGACGCTTCATGACCTCCGCATACTTGCTATCCAAAGGAAAGCTCTCGTTGTACACCTCTCCACCGACATAGCGCCACTGGCGTGGACCATCCTGATAACAACAATGCTGCGCAGTGAAAGTGATGCAAGAGGACGAAGTAGTCATTTAAACGCACCTGGGCAAAGGTCCCACCGAAGTGCAGCCGCACTCGTATGCGTGGCTTATCCTCTACATCAGTGGAATGCAGAGCTCCAGCACCCTCCGACATCAGCGCGGCCATGCTGCTCATAGGCGATAAATTGGGTCGGTTCGGGCCATCCTTCTTTTGGAGGGGCGCGGGGCCGCCTAAGTGCGGCCTACCAACGCCAAGGGCATGAAGGGGAGGGTTGAGGCGTGTTGCGCCATACGAGGCTCACACAGCCCAACCCAGGGCAGCAGCGGCCCTGCCGGTGTGTTCGGGTTGTTCAGAAATTGCTCAGTGAAGAAATGGAGTAGACAATAGTATTGCAACTCTACGAGGCTTTCTAACCTAATTTTCCTTGCAGTGGCATGTTGCTAAAAGGATTGCCTAGTACGTTGTGACACTTCAGTACGGCAAGGCAGGTAAGACTACACCTGCTTGAGCACAGTTCGAGGCAGCACAATTGCAAGGACATGCTCTAACCTACATTAGCCACATGTTGCGTGCATGTCATGTCGCTAGATGAGCGAAAATGCGCAATGGGGACCTGGGAGATACGCTATATTCTTTTTGAGATGTAAATTGCTTTTTTTATTCCCTTGCATTTTGCACGACCTTGAAGCGCGTAGGCGCAACCGACTGCACAAAAGCACTTCCAAACTGAGTCAATGTCAGGCGTTCGTATCTTGTTGGGATCTAGCAATGGAAGACACCTCGTGCTGCATTCGCGCCCTAAAATCTTACATTTCGTACGGATTCTCGTATCTCTAGAGCTTCTCCAGTACGGAGTGGTACGCCATGCTGTTTCATGTCTGACTTGATAGCATAGGACTGACGGGTTATTTTGGCTGTGCATCTCCTGGATTTAAGATGCATCAACAGGTCTGGCCCTTCGGACCCGCAGCTGTCTGGTGCGACGCCGTGGCAATAGTCCAGCGACAACAGCCCAGCTGTGGTGCCGCAACGCATTACACCTACGAGTGTTTATACTGCGACATGCCATGAAATGGAAAGACAGGGCCAGAAAATTAGCTCATTCCTGCAAGGCACGCAACGCACTTCACATCCCAGCCACTTTGCCTGGACCCGCCCGCAATCCTTCCCATCCTTAACCCGCTACATCCACTCAACTGTCCAGCGGCCTTGGGTCGGTTCTTGGTCTGCATCCCGGCTTTGAGATCCATGAATTTGCTTTCCCTTGATGTCTAACTTCCGGGATGTGTCTTTACAAAAACGCACCTAAACACAGCTCTCCACCCGATAAGGAGAAATGCCAGGCAGCGGTATCATGATCTTCTACACGACCGACAGGAAAACGATCGGACGCATGAATTTATCTGCATGCCGTCGCTACGTACATGCACATGTGCACACATACATGCCTATAAACAGTCCCGCCTCGCGTTTCACCTCTGCCAACCGCCCCATCATTCGGTCGCTCCCTCACCCCGCCGCTCCCTCACCCCGCCGACAGGCAGCTGTCCGTTCCTTGTCACACATAGCCAGCCTCCAACCCAGTATCCCCAACCTTACTACCTCGACGCCATTCTTCCTCACTCACACTCTCACTCCCCAAAACTCGCATCAGGAAACCTACCTCCTCGCTGTTCACATTCTTTAGACACATCCTTGATTGGCCAACGTATCGCCATTCGACTCTGGCTCTCTCTGCGCTCGCCCGCGCCCTCGCCCTCGCTTTCTGACGATCGCATGGTTTCCCTCGCGGCTCTCCCCTCCATCGAGCTGCGTACCCCGATACACAGCTGCACACTACCAATCGGCCACCTCGGGAGCGCGTGTCGGACAGCCTCCTCCATCGTCTTTTCGCACTGCTATTACTTCTACTGCCACTCGTGCTAGTGCGCCTCCGTCTGCACATCCACCTCGATCAGGAGGATCAAATGACGTTTCGTGTCCCTCACAACACCCTCCTCGTCTCGACAAAGGGCCCACAATTAATGACGTATATATATGTCGTATAATGGCTCTCACAACCTCCACGACCGCATTAGAATGACTTGACTGACTTGTTGCCCACGTTGAGCGACAACTTATAACCAACCGCCCATCAGTCCAACCACCCAACTTGCGTGCAACCGCCTAACTCGCACCTTGAAATGCTCAACTACCCTTTGCGTCATCATTAGAGATATTAGAGGAGAGGGGAGGCGATAAGGCGTGTAGCCTATTCTGGCACCATATGACTTTTTCGCCTACAAGAGGAAAGGCAATTGAATCACGATCAACGACTTGACAGGAAGACGAACAGACCAGTATAACACCAATGTATACAGGCAGATGGACGGAAAGGGAAGACGGACGGACAAACAAACAAACGGACAAAAACACGCAGGAGCAGTGCCGCGCCACAACCCGCTGCTCCGCCAACACCTTTAGCAACCATACCACCAACACCAACAACATCAATAACAACCGAACGCTCCACAACCATCAACTCCAAGCAACCGCAAAACCGGCGATGACAGCACGGACTCCACTGTGCCAGGCCAGCCCTGATGTTGCGACGGACGGACAGACAGATGCACACACACACACAGACACACGTACAAGCTCAGTTACCTGGACCACATCCTCCGGCCACGACCCCACAACCCACACTTCGATATTCTTTTTCTTCTCTCCTCTCCCCCCTTCCAAACCCGGGATATCTTCCACGCCGAAAGAGGTCCCGGGGTCCGCCAATCCCTACCGCTCACCCCGATCCAAACTGTCCTCCAGAGTCAGTCGTTGCTGACTGCAACCCGGGCGCCCTCCCTCCCCTTCGGTGTTCGCGATCGTGGATCGACCCGTTACCCTTCCCCTAGGCACGAATTGCATACTCCTTTTTTGCCCCTTTCCGTTCCTCTTCGCTTTTCCTTCTCCCTAACATCTTTCCCGCGTACCCCACCAGGGGGGAGGCCTCAGATCGCCGCATCGAGGAACCTCCCAAGCGCAGTCGACAGGGCCGCCTCCACCTCCGCCGTCAGGATACCGGTACGACCAAGCTCCTGGTGTACGGTAAGGATGTACGATCCGTTCACCCGCATATATATATACAAGGGCGATGCCAATGGAAAGGAGAGGAAGGAAGACGGATATCGGTATCGTTATCGGTCGGGAGTGCGGGAACGCGGGGAGGATGGGGCTGATGGTTAGGAGGTAGCTGGGGGAAATGTACATGCAGCTGCACACAGCATCGGAAGACGACTACACAGTAAGACTGGTTTTTCGAGGCAAGATGGATTCCGGGGAGAACTCTTCTAAGGAGTACTGGCATGTTGGCGTGGTTGGCGTTACTTTTATGTTGCCTCCTCCTCCTCCTCCTTCTCCTTCTGCTGCTCCTCGCCATCATCACCATCACCATATCATGCTAAGATATGTTTCCCGCAACTTCAGGGCCACCCAACCCCTTTGCCCAACCATGCTCACACCCGGACACCCCACCCCCCGAAAGCACCTGCATGGCTGCTGGCGCCCCCTGGGCCCCCGCTAGGTAGCCCATAGCTCCCTGAAGCCAGACAGACAGCTGCTCGGGGGGTACGGCGTCCGTAAAGCCCCGCTGTACCGCAAACAGCGTTGCCACCTGCATGCGGGGCGGGGCCCCCCGGCGGCGCGGAGGGTCGGGGAGGAAGACGGGGTGAGAGGTCAATCAAGTTCAGTGAGATGGGGCCGCAACGTCCTACAAATCCTTTTCAGATGACGGAGGGCGGGGCGGAGGGAAAGAAGGCGCGAGGGTGAGTACGTGGCTGACCCAGTAGTTAGCTCAAGAGGTCGGGGCAGTTTACCTCCCTCTTCTCTTCTCTTCCAGGTTAGGGCTGACCCTTGTTCGTTTGACGATAGCAAACCGCCTTATTATGCCCTCGTTTCCGTTGGTACCGCGCCCTAGGAGACGCACATAGACACACACGCGCGCGCGCACATGCACACGCCACACAAAAGGCCACCTTTCCCCGCAAGGTCCTAAGGAACCTCTTCCGCCGCCTGACCAGCCTTCATTCGCCCCGGGTAGCGGCAACGGGTCGGGTCGGGTCGGGTCGCGAGCTCAGGTCCCTACAAGCTCCCGCACCTGTTCCGCCAGTGACGCGGGCCGCCCGGGGGATTGCAGCAGCGCAGCCGACAGACGCCGAGCCAGCGCGTCTGCACGCAGATCCGCCACTGACAGCCGTACAGCGCCGCCGCCGCTGCCGCCGCCGCCAAGATCGAGGCTGCTGCCGCTGGCGGCGCTGCTGGTAGATGCGGCGGCGGCGGCACCGCCGAAGCGGCGGGCATCGTCCGCTTGAGCTAGGTCTAGCCGTACCTACATAATGTTAGCGTTCGGTTATATGAGGACAATTGACGGTTAGCCAGTTGGCTGTTAGGGGTTGAGCAGGAGGTTAGGGAGAGAAAGAGCATCGCGTTGATACCTACATACAAATACATAACCCGTCCTAGCTTCCAAAGCACTGTGTGTCATTAACTTTCATCAAATAGCACATATACACATACAGACATACGTCTCAGTTTGTATTCAACCAATAACCTTACGCACAGAACATGTATCTGCTTGTTAGCCTTTTCGCCATGAATCGTACGTCTCAAAAAACTCGGTTTTCATGGTTTTATGGAACCGCTCGCAAACGATTCGGTAGATCATCGGAAAAGCTAGAGACCTTCTCCCCTTGAATATTAAATTAGAATAAAGCTTTTGAAAGCAAAAAGATTCGGTAGATCCCGTGTGGCCTGTACACAGGTATATTCGGCATTACCTACGGCATTACCGGAAACACACACACACACACACACACACACACACACACACACACACACACACACACGCGCGCGCGCACGCGTGCGCGCACAAGCACGCACCTACCTCCCTAAGCAGATCCCGGGCACCGCCAACCGCCCAGCCACCCTTACCTGAGGTGCCAGCTGTTCAAGGGCCTTATAATACGCCCGAGTGCCGATACGGGTGATGGAGAGCTTGGGGTTCACGGAGTATGCCGGGGGTGCTGCTGCGGAGGATGCGGAGGAGGATGCGGAAGAAGGAGAAAGCACCGCCTGCTGCTGCTTGCTGCGCTGTTGCGACCCCTCCAGCACCACCTGCCCGTCTGCTATGGAAATGAACTCCTCCACCACTTCGGTCGCCAACTCGCCGCTGCCGGCACCCGCAGCCAGCTCCTCAGCCAGCATCTTGGCGCGCAACGCTGCCTGCGGGAATCGAACCGGGGTTCGGAAGGTTTTTTGCAGCGGAAATGGCGAATTTGTGGAGAGGGGCCCAGGAAAGACCCGCGTATCTCCATACGCATACAAAGTGTCCACATGCACACACGCCATCATCATCATCAGGTTGTCAAGGTAATGCCAGCACCAGGCCCCAGTTCCCCCACCACCCGGGGACCCACCTCCAGCTTGGCCAGTTGCTCTGGACTTAGCGTCTTGTACCTGGGCGGCGTGTGCGTGTGCACATGTACGTATGTATGCATGTATGTGAGTGCGGGTGGGGGGAAAGGGAAAGACGAACCACGAACGAGTAAAGCTGCTGCTAAGGAAAGGGGAAGGGGGAAACATCAAATGAGGGAGGCTACTCCCGGGGGTTGCGTATCGCCATTCCTACACCCTCATACCCCCTTCTCTCCTACCCGCCTTCCTCCGCGTGCATCTCCTCTCCACCCCGGCCTTTCCTCTTCCTCTTCCACCGAGCGGCCTCCCCACCACCACCACCACCACCACCACCACCACTCCCCTCGTGCTACCGCCCGACCCGGGGCGCCTCCCCCTTCCCAGACGCACTTCCTCATGTCGATTCGTTTGCTAACTCCTGTTGCACAAGTGCCCGGCACCAGCAGCATCAGCGACATGGAGCCCCCCCCGTTGCTGCGAGACATCTTGGCCGCTCGCATGAAGAACGTGGACAGGAAACTACAAGCAAGCAGACGGGAGGCAGGGAGGGAGGCAGGGAGGGGGGAAAGCGGGAGAAGTATATGCACGTGTACGAAGTCAGGGGGCAGTCAGTGAGGGCGGGACAGAGGCAGGTAGACGAGGCGGTGAAAGCATATGAAGACGTCAAGGCGAAGGGGGGAGGTGCAGCTAGGGCCAGGAGATAGCAGCAGGGGCGAAAAGGGTTGGTGGGGGCCGCCAAGCGGGCGGGCGGGCGGGCGGGCGCGGTATTGAGGCTGCATTTACAGACTGGACTGTCCCCTGGCGCACTCACGCACACCCACAGGAGGTCCGGAGCCGCCTCCGCTCACTCACCCTCGCCTCTGCGCCACGGCCCCCGAGACCAGCATCCCTTCATATTCCACAAGTGCCCCCTCCTCCTCGTCCAGAGAAACGCTGGCACGGATGCTGCTATTGCCGGTGCTGCCGCTGCCAGCCGCAGGGCCGCCGGCGCTGGACACAGCCGTAGTGCCGGCGGCAGCCGATGAGGGCGACGGGGAGGAGGTGGAAGAGGAGGAGGAGGAGGAAGTGGGAGGGGTGGCGGACGCCGTGCCGTCGGAGGCAGAGGCGGAGGCGGCCGTCCCCGGCGGCGGTACGACGGGCATGTCCCGTCCTCGCTCGTCCTTGACGAGACCTTCTCGAAGCAGCGCGGGGCCCAGACCTGTGAACCCACGGGTTTGCACATACAAATAAACATACATACATACGTACATACGTACATACATACATACATACGTACATACATACATACATACATTAGGCAGGCGGCTGGCAGAAGTTAAGGCCTGACTTCTGCTCCCAGTCGATCCAGTCGACCCGGGTTCAAATCCGCCTGCCAGCTCCTCGGGTGATTGAGGAGTGATGAAATGGGAGGTGGCCCCCCATCATATGGACGGTGTAGGACGTGATAATATCAACTTGCGAGCTGACCAGGAACTAAGTTGATGCGCCGTTGATCCGCTAGATTTGGTTTGATGCTGGTGGTGAGTTGCCGAACCCAACGAATACATTCTGAAGTCGGATGGGGTGACGGATTAGGGTGCCCCTCTAGCAGGGGAGAGCAGGGACTGCCCCGGGAAAGGGGGCCGCTGGCGAAGTTAACCACCCTGTAACAACATACATACATACATACATACATACAAAATATAAACATACTACATAACACGTCACTGTTGATATTGAAACTAGCCTATCTGCAAAGCGCTGGTGCCGTATCGGTGTACGGCAGGTACATACGTACGGCACGTCCTTCCATTCGCTCGTTGTGGGGCACTTACATTACATTCCTCGACGACCACCCGGGGGCCCCCTTGTCACCCCCGGAGGTACTTCCACAGCCCGAACCGAAGATGCCTGAGTCCCAACCCCACGGTCAGACACACCCAGAAAAACCCTCGACTCGGTCCCCCGTACTCGGGCATATGTGGAGGTATTCTCCTTGCCTGGTACGTCATTCACGTCGTACAATCCACTCTAGTCGCGTACGACCCTCACCTCCCTACCTGCCAATCCGCTGAGAAGCTGCTCCCACACGTCACTCAGTGGCCGGATATCGTCCACCACCACCAGGCTGTGGCCCCCTTCATCACGAATGCGCTCTGAAACCACGGTACGACAGGAGGAGTTCGTTCATCGTGTACCCCGTCGTACAGGGGGATGGTGGCCGGTCGGCAGCAAGTGGCAAGGGGCGCGCGAACCACCGAGCCACCAATGATGACCAAGGATGGGGTTGCGGGTTGCGGGGTAGCTGGGGGCTTCAGTGCCGGTGTCGGCGATATGTACCATCAGGTAACAGATCAAAAGTTCACGTGCGCATCGGGGAAATGAAGATATGCAGTACGAGCCCATTGTACGGAGTTACGAAGCTATGTACAGCAGGTCAACTAAATACCACCCCAGTCATAATCCCCCGGACGATGCCGCCCCATATAGAAGCGCCTTGAAGTGAATTGGTGTGGAGGGAGAGACGGCGGTCGGTGCGGTCGGGGGAAAATCTAGTGGGTTGCTCATTAGCGCTGTCGCCAAAATACACTGCGTTTGTATGTTTGTATGTTTGTGCGTTCCATGAGCTTCAGTGGAGGCAGGAGGAAGAGGATTTCTGGCGAGGAAGGTTCCTGTTTCTGTTTCTACCTCGGACCTATTTTTTCCTTTTTTCCGCACGGACTGCGCCTTCAGCCCACCATCACACCAAGTCTACACCTACCGCGCACCTACCCATACCGCCCCCCATAATTGATACATGGTGTCATATGACCACACCTCCCCCCTCCGCCTGGACTGTATCCGTCCATCTCTGGTATCTGCTTCATTCGCCAGTGGTTCGTCTTCCCCCCCCCTCCTCCCCCTTCATCCGCACCTCCAATCGAGCAAGCGCAGCACATGGCCGCATACTGGTGACCCGCAGGGGCCTCGGAATCCACCGCCACCACCGCAGTGTTCAACAAACAGCCCGAGGAACGGAGCTCCGAAACCACCGCCTGATGGGCATGAAAAATGTACATGGGTGGAGGTAGGTTGGGCGAAGGTCTATGTAAGAAGAGAGAGAGGGGTGAGAAGATGGGGGAACGATGGAGAAACAAAAAAAGGGATGAGAAGAAGGGGAGGAGGCCATGCAAAAGACTGGGGCGATGGGGGTTCGAGGGGGGGAAGCGGGGAAAGGGAGGGGTTATAGAACTTTAGTTCACCAGTCCCAGCACTGCGCGCACAGGGGCTGGGCGCTAAGATGGGCCTCATAGCCCGGGTCTCATAGGCCGGGGGTGACACCTCAGCTTCAGTCGAGCAGGGCGGATGGATGGATGGATGTGCTAAAGGCCCCGGAGCTGGCCCGTGGGTAAGTACGGTTTCCGCCGGACACTACCGGACAGCCCCCTCTGCTACCACCCACCTTCACCTCCTCCTTGGTCCGCCCCACCAGCGCCAATACACACCGTACGGCACCTCCAGGGGGGCTGGGTACGGCGGAGGCGGCGGAAGCGGCGGCCCCGCTCCACCTTGTCTGCCCCGCGATTGCGTCCAGAGCGAGGCGGGTCTTCCCTGCCCCCCCGGGACCGATGACCAGCAAGGAGGCGCCCCGGCCGAACGGCGTCAGGATGTCCAAAGCCTGTAGCAACATCAACAGCAGTAGCAGCAGCAGCAGCAGTAGTTACTGGTCCTGCAGCAGTAGCGGCACTAGACAGTTGCAGTCGGAGTTTTAGCGCAGCAGTATCAGCTGTGGTTATAACAGCAGCAGTAGCAACACTTTCAACTGCTGCTATTCGTATAGCACTGCTGCTATTCGCTTTTGCTACTGCTGCTATTCGCTTTTGCTGCTGCTACTGCTGCTATATACGGAAGCCCTGAGCCTGAAACGAGTTCTCAGAAAGTTCGGTGGTTGGTTGGTCCAGCACAACGAACAATCACCAACCGACTGCCGTACGCACCTTAACCCCCGTCAGCAATGACTCGTTGATCTGCTCCCGGTTCTTCATCTCCACTTGCTGATTCACCAGCGGTCGAGATCGACTACTGCTACTGCCGCTGCTACTACTGCTACTGCTGCCGCTGCGGGACGCTGTCGTCGCTTCTGTAGTTGCGACTGCCGCTACTGCGGCGGCGGTAGCCGGTACGATTTCGTCGTACTCTGGCAGGTGCCGGCCGATGTGGTCGCACACCCTGCCGAACATGTCCTCCCCCGCCGGCACGTTGAACATCTCGAAGTCCTTCCGGGTAATGGGGCCCTTGACGTCGTCCACCACCTGGGGAAACCCCACATGTGTATGTGTGTATGTATGTATGTACGTATATATGTATGTATTCTCATGAACTTAGCCGCGGGCAGGAGCTGCGTGTATGCGGGGGGGTTGTTTCAGAGAGCCTTTGACTTTGCCCTAGCTGAGACTTGTGGACTCGCTCTAGCGGGACCTGAGAGCCCTTCGTGGTGTTTTCACTGCAGCGCCATCCCCGGATGGAAGTGGCTGCGTAGAGTGTTGGCAGTCTGAGTCGGGGTCGGGAGCACACAAGACTAACCGACTTGTGCTGTGTGCTCCCGACCCTTGCGCTGTGTTTCGGCTTCGGCCCCCGGCTCTCGCGGCCCACAGTGTAATCTAAGTCACACACACAATGGAATTTCAAAAAACTAATCAGGATGAGTGTATATCATTATGTACACCATCAAATCCAAACCCGGGCCGGGGAGGAAAACGATCCCCTTACACCTACCCGATCAATGGGTGGGGGGATGAGGCTTCAGGAGGTGATGTGGTACGAGGTGGTGCCAGATGATGTGACGCCCTGACTATCCCCCCAACCCCTTCACAGAAACACACACACACATACATACACACATACATACACACATACACATACACACACCACGGCTCAGACCAATAAAACACACCTCCACGTCACCCCCCCTACTCCCCGACCCGAACTGACCCGACCCGTACACCCACCTGCAGTACCCCTTTGATCTTACACTCCACAGGTGTGCCTTCGCTGACAGTTGACTGCAGGTAGTTGGCAGTTGGCAGTTGGGGAAGGCAATTATATTTTAAAGTGGGCTCTCATGTCCAGCTCAACGACGTGTGAATTGGGCGTACGACACGCATATCCTTGTAAGGACGCACCCATACCCACATCGGCACCCACGACATATGCCCCACAGAAAAATTCAACGAGCCCCCCCAATAAACACGCAAACTCATACCCACACGAACGCAAGGCCCGCGGGCCCCCTTCTCGCAGCCCCAAACCCTCCGTCCCCCCTCCAGACAAACCGACATACACACTCACGCACACCCCAACATGGCTCACCGGATCCCCGAGCACCAGACAGAACGATAGGTTGTCGGAGCGGTGCCACAAGAGAACACTGCGACATCGTACAGTACGACGGGGTACGGCAAGCTAAGGGAACGACAAATCATTTTAACGTTTTTCCAAACTTCTATCGCCTGTGGGACTGCTGCTCCCCCTCTGGCTCCCCCCGCCCGCGGGCCCCGGGGGGACGCCACGCGGGGAAGGACATGTGCCCCGGAGCTCTGTGTGTGTATGTGTGCAAGTGTACGTGCGTATGTATGTATGTGTGTCTCTTCTACTGATCTGGGGCACAGCTCCGGAACTGGCGAGGAGGATACATGAGACACACACACACACACACATAGGACAGCAGCGACTTCACGAAGCAGGTGGTGTGGGAGGAATGCATGTGTGTGTGTGTACTTGCGCAAGCTATGTGCGTGGGACGACTTGGTGCTGCTGCTGCTGCTTGGATTGACTGTCTGGACAGCCTCTCCTCCCCTCCCCTCCCCTCAAGCGTGTGCATGATGCATGGGTTTCAACTTTGGAGCCACCCCAATATCCCATATTCCCCTCCCCAAGGGAACCCCTCCCCTCTCCCTCTCTCCTTTCCAACATCTCATATCCCCCTCGGCCCCTCTCCCCTGATCTGTAGGACGCCGACCTTCACCTTTTCCCCCTCCCCCCTCCGCGGCAGTTTACCACTACTTTGCGAGTCCGACATAACATGCGATCTTCCTTTCCACCCCCACTCTCCCCCCTCCCTTCCCCCCCACTCTCCCCCCTCCCCCCCCCTCCCCTCCCCGGCTCTCACCCCGCTGTGCCCGTCACGAAGGACACCTTGGTGCCCAGCGGGGCATCCGTGTTGAGACCCGACACGATGGCGAGGCCGTCACGAGCGTAAAGAACCTGCGCCACACCACACCACAACATGCCACAGGACAGCGGGAGGGATATACGCCAAGCCAAGAATACAACTGCCCACGCCCAAAGCGGAGGTTGGGGGTCAGCGCACTATACACGCACAGACAACCCCCCCTTAGACATTTTCATCAGTTGGCTAGCAGAGGCAAGGAGGAATGACGTTGAGGGCCTATGCCTCATGTGGGGCAGGTGCCGAGGCGCATTAGCCCGGGCCGAGGCGCTCCGTCGATGAAAAAGTGGGAAAACCCCCACCATCGCTACCACCCACCGGGCAGCCTCCCACGGGGGCTCTTGTGCATTTCGCCCCAGGGCCTGCCTCCATACCCACGCCTTGCACCGTGACAACGTGCCACCCCAACTGCACACACACACACACACACAGGCTCGCGTGTTCGTGCAACCCCCCAACCCCCTATCAAATCTTAGAGATATCCGTGTCCCCATGGTATCGCTGCCGTGACCTTGCCAGTACTCAAACACCTGGCTGCTGCCATCCCCCGCCTGCGGTACCTTTCCGACTGAGACCTTGGCTTCCAATTCGCGAAGCGTGGCGAGCTGATTTGGGCGGGAGATGCGCTGCTTAAATATGCTCATCTCCGCCTCCCAGTCCGGTTCCTCGTCTGTACCGCCGTTGCCTTGTCCGCCGCGGCCTGCCTGTGCGGCCGCGGCGACATGGCGACGCCCCGGCCGGCTAGGCCGCTGTGCTGCGGAGGCGCTGGTCGCGGATGGGAAGGAGGAGGGGTGGCCAGAGACCGCGTGCGCGGGGCCCAGGCATCGCCGCGCGGACTGAGGCGTGATGAACCCGCGATGGCTGGACAGCGATGGGCTAGCTGCAGGTGGGCTGGCCTGAGAAGTTCCAGCATATAATTGAGATTTCGAAATATGGCTTTGTTGGACAAAGGTTCGCGACATCATTCCAAAGCGGCGTCTGCGTCACAGCCAACGGTTTGCGTCCACCCGAGTTGATTTTCGTTATAACAGCGCAAGGCTAAGAAGCGCCTGCGGGGAACGTAGCTAAATGAATAGCGTTGCTTGAAGATATGAGTCCTAACCTTATCCAATTAACCCGCCCACCCTTTTGAGTTGGCAAGCACTCTTTCAGTCAGTGCCATGCACTTCCAAACACAAATCCTGAACAATTTTCCTTTTCTGGGTTGAAAGTGACGAGAAGCGTTCTGAAGCCAATAAGCCGTACAAACCCGGGTTCCAAATTACAACTTCTTGTGGCCCTGACATCGTTGATTTAAGGAACCAGAGCATGCAATGGGTAAGAGAAGCGCAATGTGGTTTAAAACTCCTCAACTTCATCGTGGTTGCAGTGACGCGGTTCTAGCTGTGCGTACGTGCGGGTGTGCAGGCCTCAAACTTGAGGACCAAGCGCAACCAGGCCCTGCCTGTTAGGTATATATGCCTGTTAGGTCTAATATAAAGGCGGGAAATGATAGCCACAGCGAAATGCGAGCGAGGGACGGTTTCGTTGTTTTCCCATTTAATAGCAAGACGTCCAAAGCTCAGCCCGGGGTGATCAGCCCTCGCCCGGGCCTTTGCCGGCTTGCCGATCGATGCGGATTGAACAGAGTCATACGCAGGCGGCCACAGCCAGAGTCCTATGAAGGTATTAGTGATTGTTACAGTCCAAAACGATAGACGTCTTTGGCTGACCTGGCTGGAGAGCGCCGGAAAACTGAACGAGTTGCTGACGGAAACGCCAATCCCAAGTTCAACAACGCACCGTATGGATTGATCGTCAATCTCCGACGAGTCCGCGTCGGGCGTATCGGCATGCCGTCCCCCGCACTCAGGTCGTGAAGCTATACAAGCGACATACAACTTTTCTAGTGGACCAACAAAACAACTTCTGAGTGCACGCTTGAGAATCTGGGGCGGTAATATGGTTTAGTGCAAGGGCTGATCCTTCCCGAAAGAAACACCCACAATGCAACGAGCCTGGGGCGATCACGCCCCAAGGTGCCAACACTGTCCGTGTCTAAGTATGTTGGGGACCCCTACTGCGAGGTGATTTTTTCCAGGGGCGTTACAGCCATGGGGACTGGCCCCAGGGGTTTTGGTGTGTAGGTGAGCTCAGCCCTGGGCTCACCTACCACCCCCTGGCGACAATCCAGGTCCTGCGCCTCGCGGTTCCAGCTGCCATTCAGTTACAGCTTTGGAGGACAGGAATGAGGTATGGGCCCATCAACGCGGGATTGGATTGCGACACCGTCGGAGACGCAGGACAGGGAGGGGCCGGGGTGTTGTTCGTTGCGTGAGCCATAAGCAAGGGCCGAATGCACGATCAAGGCCGGTCCCTAAGACCCAACAGCGCCCAGCGCACAAAGCTTGACGTCTATAACTTATTTGGAAATGGTCCTGTGCTTCCCATGCCTCTCCCGAAGGAGTGGGGGCTGGATGGGTGGGTGCTCGGATTCCGACTAGGAGGCCCACCATTTATAATATTGCCCTTGCCGCAATGACATTTGCCATCACATGCTTGTAACGCGTGACCAGGACATGGCTTGTGCGGAGCTTGCTACGTACAAATGTGGCGAGGCGACCTGCAGACTGCCGCCCGTCACCACAAATATCTGCTCAGGGTATAGGCACCCAAAGCTATTCTTCTTCGCACCATCAACTGACCTACTAAAATCCTTCGTGCATGCGGGAGCTGCGTCCGACAAGAAAACAAGGTTTGTCGCAGCTGTCAGCACGAGTCAGCAGTGGCGATGCCAAGGCGAGGTATTCGTCAAGATACTTAGAAGGATCATAAACACAGTATGCATGGTTTGAACACACGTAACGGTGTTAGCGGACTTTCGCCCAGTGACCGTCGATACCAAGAAGTGCACATCGCAAAGCGTAAAAAACTGCATTATGAAGTGCCCTTAATTTTTTATGATGGGGCTTTTTACATACGTGTAGAAATTGAGGCACGATGCGTCGCGGTGTTGAATCGCTATTGCTGACTGTACAAAAAATGGGCTTTCGATGCGACTGATCGTTTTATCGAAACAAGCTTACATATTCATAAGGTTGCATGTATCTCATCCCATAACATTTACAAAGGAACAGGATTAATCAGCTTTTGGGGTACCGTAGTTCAATTTTCAGTGTTTTCAATTCAGTATGGCGGCTATCCAGGACGTGCCGCGATTAGTGCTGCAGGCTATCTTAGCTTCTCAGAGTCCACAGGCACTTCCACAGCAGCGTAAAGAGGCTGTCGCGTTTCTGGAGCAGGTGAGGCAGGCGCGAGATCCTTTCGTCAACGGATGCGTATAGCACGACCCCGATCAGCCTTCGGTACTACGTAATGTCTGATTTCCCAAAGGTCATCGTGCATATTCGAAAACATGGCCGTACAGGCAGCCATGCACAGCATACATCGTGTGTGTATAGGCGGAAGGGAGGATCGCGCAGGGACATGTTATTCCGAAGCTTTCTCAGCTGGAACATGCACATTTAAGATTTCTATGTTACAAGTGCCCTTAGGAGCCCGCCGCCTGTTCAAAACACCTGATCCCACTCAATGGTCGATAACACACAACCCCCTCATAACCCGGCAGTTCAAATGCGCGGACGTCACGTCTGTGTTTTCCACGTGCGCAACACTGATTTCGCTACAGCAGCTGGCGCAGCTCTATGGCAGCCTGCTGCAGCCGACCGAAGTGGTCGGAGTGCGGCTAGCGGCCTATCAGCTCATTATTGATGCAGTAAGCGGAGACACAGATGCAGTTGCAGGGGGAGTCAGGATAACAAAACCACCGGGTACCGGGGGACGTCGGGGACCTGTGGCCATTGCATGACGGGGGACACGAAGGTGGCTCGCAGGCTTTGGCGGCAAGGGGCAAGAGGGGCAGGGGGCCAAGGGGCAAGGGGGGCAGGGGGGCAGGGGGCCAAGGGGCAAGAGGGGCAGGGGGCCAAGGGGCAAGGGGGGCAGGGGGCCAAGGGGCAAGGGGGGCAGGGGGCCAAGGGGCAAGGGGGGCAGGGGGGCAGGGGGCCAAGGGGCAAGGGGGGCAGGGGGCCAAGGGGCAAGAGGGGCCAAGGGGCAAGAGGGCCCAAGGGTCGCGCGCAGGCCGGGCCTGTACTGCCACACGTACATGCACAGGGAAATTCGATGCGCTGTGGATGACCCTGGGTTGTCCTTGGGTTGCGTTGCGGATGGTTGTGTCATGCGGTGACACCGGGTTGAGACGGCGGGACGGCAGGAGGGGATGGCAGGCCTGAGAGATGGTGCGCGTGCAGGGCCGAGGGGGGCTGAGCTGCAGTGCTGGGAGTGAAGGTTGCTGCGCTCTGGCGGTGTTTGCACACATGTGGTGAACCGGACAGCGTGCTCAGCCTCACATGTGCACATCTGCCAGATGCCTGGGAGAGCCTACGGGTCGGGCGCATCAGGGACACATGCATCAGGGACACGCAAGCTCTTATGCACTCGTACTGGGATTCTTTGGTTCTTCGTTTTCTTCGTCCCCTTTAGTTCCCCTAAAGGGGGAAGTCGTACCTTGTCCCCTCTGGTCTTAGTCCCCTAGGCTGTCTTCTTCCCCTTCGTCTTCCCCTTCGGGGAGCACTAAAGTCCCCTTTAGGGGATGAACGAAAGGGGAAGACAACTCACAACAAGAGTTGAAAACACAAAGAACTTACGTTGGGCGCCGCCGGTTGCCAAAGAGCATTGTTGGCTTGGGATGACACCCTAGGGGACTAAGACCAGAGGGGTTTGTGCCAACGGCTTTGCCGTTGGCAAAGCTTTGCCCGTAACTTAGTTGAGCTATGTTCTTCGTCCTTTGGTGGTAAGGTTTCTTCGTCTTAAGAAAACGAAGAAGAGGCGACGTAGTCCGTGGCTCTTATGACATTTTCCTGCAATGGGACGTCCGCGTGCTCTCAACTTGTAACTTCTCCGAATCGCCCCCGAGTCATTCCTTCGTCACGTGCGACGCCGGGCAGGTACGCAACCGATGGCGTGAGCTGTCTCCGGAGCAGCGGGTGGCAGTGACGCAGCTGGCGCTACAGCAATTCAGGGAAGGTGAGGAGGGAGACGTGGACAAAGAGGCGGTACGGGATTGGGGGACGGGTAAGAGCGAGGTACAATCCGATGATGTAGCTGCCGGACGTTAGCTCCATAGACGGCTGAGCAGGGCAGGTATTTGGAGGGGACATGGGACCCGGGTGGGGTTCGACATGGACGGGGGCAGGGGTGGGAACGGGTTACAATTGGCGGCGCCCGGTGGGCGATGATGAAGGTGGATGCTGCGTGGGCGAGCTAGCGTAGCCCAAGCAGCTCCTGGGGGGACTTCAGGGCGCGGCATTGCAATGCAGTCCTAGGATTGCTGAGGGTAACGCAGGGCTGGGAGCTGTGCAGCCGCGGGACCGGGAGCTGGGAGCTGTGCAGCGTCTGTCGTGCGTTGGGACCTGATTTCGGGTTGGGGGCCCTGGGTTGGCAAAGTACTGCCTGTTGTGGGAGTGTTCAAGTCTTGTGTTCAGCTGCCGTGTGGATAATGCCATGCGCCGGGACCGCAGGATCTGGGTATTTTAGTTGGCGGGTATGCGATGATTGTGATGCATGTCTTAACATGACACAACTGGATATCCCGTAGATATACATCCTACGTAGGGTTTGGCACTACTGGTAAGGCGCGACCATTGCCCCCGGGAGATCCTGGGATCGATACCCATTAGGATCAAAGTCCTTCCGATGGTGGAAGGCATTGCGCCCCTAGTTGATGGACGGTGGTGACCTGGGATAAAGTTAATCTGCGAGCCGACCAGGAATGGAGTTGGGCCGCTGTCGACCCGGCCGATTCCGTTGGATGCCGGCGGTGGGTGCGGAACCTGAGCGATCCACTGAGAAGTTGACTAGGGTGACTGGATGAGGGTGCCCCGAAATACCGGGGAAGGCAGGGTTTCGCAGGGTAGCTGCCACGGGCGAAGATACACCCCCCTGTTTCACACATCATACATCCTATGGGCTTCGAGGAATGAGGTATGTGCCTAGCAAACCGCTTTTAGTAAGCGGGGGTGATGCTGTATTGGAGAGACCTATGGGCTATTTGGTTGTGTTGCCGTAGCTGCGGTCTGTGATCGCTTGGTGGTGGTGCGTGTCATAGAATTGCCAACCCGTTTTGCGGGCCTGAAGTACTTCGCGCTACAACGGCGTGCCCCGCTTATCGCATCCTCCTTGGGGCTGGTGCTTTCCTGTTGCATTATCCCGCAGCTGCGTCTCCTGCACAAGAACCTGCCGCAACTAGCAGTGGCGGTTTCCCCGAGCGAGGGAAAGCGGCAGAATTACTTGCTGTGGTGGTGCGTCAGCGAGGAGCATCAGCGTATGCAGAAGTGTTACCGCAGCTTATAGCGGGAGCTGCAGCTGGGCCTGTTCAGGTGAGGTGTTGTGTGAGGTGAGCAGGAATTGTCGGAGATGGGAGGGGGGGGTTGAAGACGCTGCGAGTTATCTAGATAGTTAGCCGTTATGAGGGATGGGTTCGGTGACTTGTTAGGAACGATGTGGTAGTTGTGTTATCATAACCTGCATATGATGTCGTTAAACGCAAATGGATTTGTTGACGAAATGTAGGCTGAATTAACCTGTCGGGTGCTACTCTACATCAGCGAAGATCTGACACAATTCGAGATTTCTGGACCAGGTGAGTGAAATTTTGTTTTATGAATTATGCCCCCAGTGTGTGACTTCATTAGTGCGAAGGTGTGTGCAAGGTAGAATTGGAAATTTTCTCTTCAGAAGTTACAAGTTTTAGTTCATCACATCATGTGATAAATACATGATATATGATAGTCGACGTATAGTCAGGTAACACGCTTCTAGTCGAGCAGGCTCAGAGCATTTACATGCCCAAAAATGCAAAACTCTCCCACAGTCCGCCCTAAGGCCAAGCTGGCTAATTACTCTTCTCTATGCCCCATCCACTTGCCGCCACACTCAAGCCATCGCTCCTTCACATAATTTACTTGACCGGAGCGATCTCATCGAGCGCATAGCTGTTCGTGTTGACACCAGCGTAGTTGAGGTTCTCAAAGCGAACCAGCACAGGGTAACGGACAGCGCCCTGCAAGTAGGACGAAGGGGCTTAGCTTGTTTGCACATCAACCCCTTGTGCATGAAGGACTCCCGCACCTGGTCGACGGTCACCACCTTGCCGACCTGGTTGAACCAGTACGACTCAGGGCGGAGAATCTTCACCTGTTATCGTGTCAAGAAAACATAGCTAAGCGTCTGAATCACTGAGCTGCTGAAACGCTGCGCTTGCGCTCACCAGCGAGCCACGCTTAGGCCCGACATCCTTCTTCGGGGCAGCCTTGGGGGCGGCGGCCGCCTCCTCGGCACGCACCACCAGGCGCGAAGCGCGCTGGGGCTTGGCTGCAGTCAGGACGCAAGCGTAAGCGCTAGTTGCTGAAGGTTGGAGTATATGGATGTCTGATCACGCACCCGCGAAGTTCACACGGGACGACAGGGCCTGCATTTCTGAGATAGATGTAGAAGAAAGCAGATATGTCTCTCGGTGTCGCGGTTGGAGCCACTGAGACTGGGTGAAGCGGCCATATAAGTGAAAAGCTTGTAAGGGGGAGAGATCCAGATGGGGGCCTTTTACATGGATTCTGACGTAAACTTCCCCGCAACGGCTGGACTTCCGTCGCGTGTCGACCAGATTTACAACCAATGTTTATTGATTTTATAATGTAAATGATGCTGGACCTTTCAGTTGTTTTAGGATGCCTCCAAAATGATGTGCCTTTAGCGTCTGATTTTGGTTCTTTTCTTCTGCGCCGCGGCAATTCAAGCTCTTGATAGAAGTTTAGCTCGAATTTTTAGTATAATGCGCTGCACAACGTTTATTTGTTGGATGAGAACGGCGCCGCCTGCGCAGGTGGAGCTGTCGGAGCTTCCGGCGATGGCGCGACGACCGACCCAACGTCGCCCGGTAGCTCGGGAGCAGCAGACGCTCCCGATGTTACGAGCAAGAGAGCCTTTCTTTCAGCGCTCACGGCCTCAGCGACAACCGTGTTCCCGTTCCTTTGCGAGGTACGTGCCGCTGTGACAGTTGTTAGGCGTCGACGTTACCGGGGAGCGCATCTACTTAGCTCGGAAAGCTTTCCTGCCCAAAGCAAGACCATTTGGGCAATCTGGGTTCCTGTCTAAACCCCAACACGCTCCACACCACGTCACCGTCGTATTGCTCGGCGCGCTTCTTTGGTTACTTGTGTCCGCAATCCAATTGGAGTCGGGCAACTGGGCCCTTGATGGTGCACGATTTGGGTTGTTTCAATACAAAGGTGACACGCAACCTTACCGATAGCACCGAGGCAACGGCAACATACTGAGGGCTATATCTACCCCTCAGCTTGCTGCGGCGCACCCAGTGCCACATGACCCACATTGCGTCCGTCTGATGTGCCGCATTCCTACCTTCGCTATCTGTTGCCTCTGCCCCCTTCCGCTCTGTCGCCTCCACCTCTCTCTCCTCACGTAAACCCCCCTCCGCCATCTCCCTTCGCATCAGGTCCTTGAGCAGCACTTCCAAGCAGCCCAGAAGCTAAGATCCGAACCGCTACCACCGGCTGCCGGAGGCGGCGGCGCTGCCGCCGCCGCAGGTGGGAACCCTACAGCCTCTCCCGAGCAGCAGCGTCGAGATCAGATCGCGGCGCACGTCGGCGCGCTGTCCGCGGCTCTGGGCGCGCTGAGCACCTGGGTTGAATGGGTGCCGATGCGCCGGCTGACGGCTAGCTCGGTGCTGAGCGCCTGCTCGTTCTTCATCCGTGAGGGCACTCCGTCGCTGCGCATGCAGGCCCTGGACGTGCTGCGCCAGGTGGGGGCCCGCTTGGGTGCTTTCGGGGAAAGGGGTGAGGTGACGACGGTGTGTGTTTGCGTGTATTTCTGTCATGTCTTCTGACTCGTCTCAGTACTCGTCTTACCACCGCAGAGCAGAGGCGAGTGTAGGCTCGACCGGGTTTTGGATACCTTGAGAGAGGAGGGTTCGAGTCGTTGTTGGTAGTGAATGGGTCGTGAAAAGTACCGAAGTCCGGGACGGGCTCGGGTGGCTTCGAGTATCCACCTACCTTAACCTGTGGCTTCACTGCCCGGAGAGCTATTCATTGACCCAGGAGGATGGGGCTTGCTAAATCTCCCTTTCCCTAGCCACTACGTCCTCGTCCATCCCCATGGTGCGGCTGCTCTTAATTCTCTCACCCTTCCCTTCCCCCATCCTGCCCTCCCTTCTCCCCGCACTCCCCCATCTCCTTGGCATCAGCTTCACTCGTTCGTGGTTTGTCGTCCCCCCTCAAATCTCCCCCCCTCCCCCCTCAAATCCCCCTCCTCTCGACCACCCACGTCCGCACGAGTGCGTGCTCACCGCCTCTGCCGCAGTAAATACTTCCCTTCCCCCCACATTTCCCCCATTTTTCCTTGGGGACATTGAGGCGGTTCAATAATGGTAGACGACATGACGTTTTCATGTACGGCCGCCACCCATGTCCTCTCCCTCAGGTTACTTGGCGCAAGCGGGCCAATGAGACCCCCGCCGACTACATCACCCTCATGGACGGAGTGGGAGGTGCCCTTCTGGGGGCCACCGCCGCCCTGGGGCTGCTGCTGAGTCCCCAGGACCCTTTGCCTCCTGGTGAGGGGGTGGGGGCGGGACTGGTGCTGGTGCTGGAGGCTGGGGGAAGAGGAGGAAGGGAGAGGGATGGGAGACGGGGGGATTGGTGGCTTGCCCTGTATGTTGCGTGTGTTGTTGCGGGAACCTTAGGTGTTCGTTTTTGTGTGTTATATGTTGCGGTAAGTAGAAGATATTTAAAGTAGGGATATATAAAGTGTGGATGTCTTTAATAATCGTGCGCCTTGTGCTGGGGTATTGAGCCTTACTGGAGATGGAGAGCCTATGAAGTGGAACCCTTCGCCCGCCGGAGGACTTACCTCCCTGGAGTCTGCAGTCTAACCTTTTCTGAACTCCGTCTCGTCCTCCTCTTCACTCGCCACCTACAACCTACAGAAAAGCATTCCACACTTCCTCTTCCCAACCCTTTTCCTCGCTAGCCCCCTAACTCACTCTCCGCTATCCCTGACCCCCTGACTCCCTGATCCATAAATTCCTCATATCCCCGTCTGACTCAGCCATGATTCGCGAGCTGGGCTACGGCGGCTCCCAGGCGGAGTTCGGTGCCCGCGTGTTGGAGGTGGTGGAGAGCCTGGGGGAGGGCCACTTCCGTACGCTCTCTGAGGCTGAGGGCCGCCGGGCCGCCTTCCTGACGCAGCTGCTCACCTTCACTCGCCACCCCTACCTGCGCCTGTCGGGTGGTACGCTGACGCTTTGGCAGCAGCTCCTGAGGGAGGCCTCCCCACAACACGCGCTTGCGGGTGGCGGTAGCGGGGGGGCTGCTGGCGGCGGCGGTGGATCTGGGGGGCCTGGGGCGGTACATGCTGGTGGTGGTGGTGGTGGTCAGGTGGGCGGCTTACCACGGGGCTTGTTTGTGGTCCGGGGTGTGTGTGTGTGCGTAATGGGGGGAGTAGGAGGATGGGGGGGAAGGGGTGAGACGTGTGTTAGGGCGGTGAGTGTTTCGGCTTGCGCTGCTTATTCTGTATTGACTGTTTCGTCGGGGTCACTACACCTCGTCTTTTTCTGCCTCTTCCCTCCCTTCCCTGTCCCCCTCGTTCGTGGTTCGTCTTTCCCCCCCTCCCGCCTTATCCAACCCAACCCAACCCAACCCAACCCAACATCGCACCGCATTGCACAGAATTCACCGACGAGCGGTAGTGGGAGTGGGAGCAAGTCTGGCTCGTCTTATACTCTGCCGGTGGATGTGGTTTCGGAGCTGATGCGAATGCTGTGTGGAGCCATGGTGCTGGTGGTGCCGACTGCCGACCCGGGGGTTAACAACGTACCTGACTGGTGGGTATGGGGGGGTTTTGTGTGTGTGTGTGTTATGGGCGGGTGCGATTGTAGATGAGGTGTGGGTGGGGATGGTAGTGGATGAGTGGAACTGGGGTATATTTATGGGTAGTAGGAGTAGCAGTAGTAGGAGAAGAAAACTGGTACGGAAGTGCTTTAGGTGTTCAGGTCTTTTTTGATTTCCTTGCTTCTGCACATGACTAGCGGTGCTGTCGCAGCCTCTTCTGACTTGGGAAGGGAACACTACCGTCCAAAATGGCGCTGTCGGCCAAACCAGCCCAACGATGCAACGATTTCCTCCCAACCCAAGCATATTTTGTCACCATTTGTGGCTTCTAGTCTACCCTACCAGCTGTGCAGCTGTGCAAATCCTGATGGAGCACTAGAAACGTGTCCTTGTCATGCCTGTTAACCGTCAACTGCCAACCGCGGAACTGCCAACCATCTGCAGGTGTGACAGCCACGCTGAGTACAAGGAGGTGGTGGTATCGTTCCGGTCCCAGGCCAAGGCCATTCTGCGCCTAGCTGCTTCGCTGGCTCCGGAGCAGGCCTTGCAGGCGGCGGGGACGCTGCTCAGCTCGGCGTTCGCGGCATGTACGGCATCCGTGGCGACGACGGCGGCAGCGTCGTCGTCGACGGCGCAGCTGGAGGCCGCCGTACTGGTCCTGACGGCGGTGCTACCGCCGCTGTGCGACATGGCAGCTGCGCCGTTGGGGGTGTCGACGGGCGGCAGTGGCGGCGCCGGCGCGGGAGCTACGGGACCAGCGGCGGTGTCACCGGTGGCTCAGGCAGCTGCGGCGGCGCTTGTGGGGGGTATAGCGGATATGCTGCAGGCAGTGCTGCGAGTGCGGCTTTCTGACCCGCGGCACATGACCCTGGTAAGTTGGTTTGGTTTCGGTTTCGGTTTCGGTTGGTTAACTTAACGCCTCCCTTAGTTAGTTCGGTATTATTCCTCGTATGCATTCACGGCATTCATTTTTTCCCGACCCCCCCTGCATTCCCACCTTTTGCCCGTTTCCCCCCCGCGCGCGTCCTCCCTACTTCACCTGCCCCGACGTGTCGCTTGTTGACCTGTGGCTACCCGTGTGCACGTGTGAACATGTGAGCCCGCATGAGTGTATTCGCATGTGCGTGTGTGTGTGTTTTATTGTTCCTGATTCCGCAGCACGCCGAGGCGATAGAGGCGTTCGGTTGCTTCCTGGCGCTACGTCCCGACCTGGCTGTGCCCACTGTGAGCTGCTGTCTGGAGGTGATGAGGCTGCTGCCCCTGGAGGTAGGGACGGGAGAGGGTGGGGCGGGGGTGGACGATTTAAGGTGGAAGGGGAACGGACCGGGGAGTGGGTTATTGGCGGGTAAAGGCGAGCGCTATCTCCCTGATACCTGTCCTCCCTCTCGCGCATGCATGTAAAGACGCACGCACGCTTGCTTGCTTGCTTGCTTGCTTGCTTCATTCTCAGCCGTGGTCTCCTTCCCCTTTCTTTCTCTGTCTTGATCATCCGGGAGTTTGGCGGAAAAAGCTGCAGAGCCCTCCCGGAGCGGTTCCACGGTTGGCATGTGTGTGTGTGTGTGTTGATCATTAGCAGGGTTGTATCCTCTTCTTCCCTTACCCATTTCGTTTTTCTCCTTTTCTGCGCCCCGTCTTCTACACATGTATACGCATGTGTACACACGTGTACACACACAAACACACATCTTAGGTGGCTTTCTTTACCCTGGACCCAACCCCCCTTTCCTTTCCTTTTCTCCTTTTCCCCCCGCCCCGGCCCTCCCGCCCCCTAGGCCCCCGGTCAGCTCCCTCCCCCTCCCCGTCAGACGCCCGAGTGGAGGGCGCAGTTCGAGGCGCGACTGGCCATGGCGAATGTGCTGCTGGGCCTGGCTAGGGTTAGTCCAGGGGGGAGGTGGAGGCGGGAAGATATGCAGACGCGGACGGCCTAGAGGGGCTTGGAGGGGGGTGAGACACGGCGAAAAAAGAGGAGGGCCATCGTAACGAGGAGAGGAGGAGAAGAATGGGAAGGAGAAGGACGGACGGTGTGTTGGTGCTTGTGTATTCTTCTGGCCCCCTTAACTTGCCTTGTGTCCTACACCCCCAGCCCCTACATTTCCCTCTTTTTTGGTTACTAGTGCTGGTGCCTGCATGGGGCAATGTGCAAATGTATTAATATAAAAAATGTATTTGCTCACTTTCGTAGCTTAAGGAGTTACGGTACACCGTGTCGTGTACAGTATCTTCATTTTCCTGTCGTGGCTTCATTCCCCCATTCAGGCCGCCCCTGGAGCTCTTGTTCCGCACCTCTCCGCGCTGGTGACCGAGATATCTGTTCTGTGGGAGCGGGGGTTGCTGAGGGAGGGGGAGAGGGTGCTGCTGTGGGAAGGTGAGCGTGGCAGGGGCTGTGCGTGTGTGTATGTATGTGTGTACGTATAGTTGCCTGTATGCTTGCGAATGGATGGGTGAGGGAGGAGATGAGGCCCCTTCCTCCTCCACAACCCAGGACAGGACGTTACCCGTTATTTGGGTCTCGTTGTTGCGCTCGCCGCATCCCTCCCCCCCCCCGGTCCGTCTGTTCAGTGTACGGGTAGCTGCTACGAACTGCATGGCCTCGCGTCCCCTTTCCTTCCTTTGCTGCTTTGGATGTACGCCGGCTGTCAATTCCATGCTCTATGTGCAGATGACTTCCCCCACTCCTGTACTGTACCCGCATGCCTCTCCTGTTCTGTCCTGTCCTAGGGCGTCACGACCCCCCTCGCCCCAGTCTGCTGCATCAGTCTTTCCTTGGCAGCAGCTTCACTCGCTCGTGGTTCGTCTTTTCCCCCCCCACACACACCCCCTCCCCCTCGACCTCCCCTTTCTCACCCCCCCTCTCCCCCTCTAGGCCTCCTCGCCGCCGCCTCCGCCGCGTCCCCCCTGGTGCAGTCCCAGCTCATCCAGCTCATATTCGGACCCATAGCGCAGCAGTGGGGCAGTGCGGAGTGGCAGGCTGCTGTGGCCTCGCCGCAAGTAAGGGGGACAGGAGAGGGGGAGGAGGCCGCAGGGGCCCGCAAGAGGGGAATCAACTCCAGCCAGGGGGAAACAAGGAATGAACTGCTGGCAGTCTAGGAAGTCTCCGGGGGAAGCGGCGGGTTTGTGTTTGTTTGTGTGCGTGTGTGCGTGCGCGCGCGTGTGTGTGTGTGTGCTGAAGGAGGTGCATAAAGGACAGGACAGGCAGACTCAGACCTGGAGGTGGATTGGAAGGGTGTCGGCGCCGGGACGGGTGTTGGGGGGGGGAAAGGGGGAATTAGGGTTCGTAGAACCACAGGCCCTCGAATTCCTACGTGAGGGGGGACCGCGGATGCGATGGTATTGGCGGTGGATGCGGTTATCTGCGACATGGATGCGTTTAGACATGGACCGTGTGGGATTCGATGCGCGACACGGACAAGAAGGCAAAAGTTTTCTTCAGGCGCAACCAATACTGACTTTGCCTCTCTCGCGCGCGCACTCTCACTTTCCCCGCGTCCCTCGCTTTCTCTCTACGGCATGAACGACTGCAACGTCATGTGCGGTGACATCATCATCATTATCATCATCATCGTCATGAATGCATCCCTTGCACCCGTGTAATCGTACAGGCGTTCGTACAGGCCTACATGCCGCTCGTTCCTGGGGTCGCCGGTTCGGCTGCTGCGGGCTCCGCAGGGAGTGGCGGTGTCTCTCCGGGTAAGCCCTCCCTGGAGCTAGGCGCCCGGGAGCGGCGCTGGACGCTGTATCACCAGGTAGGGTCTCGTGCGTGTGTGGGTGTGGGTATGGGGGGGTGAGGGGTAAATTTATGAGTGTTCCGCGTTGTTTCCCCCCTCGGCATTGTCCGGGAGGTGGTAGGAGGTGAAGGTGGGGTTCGTTGCGTTACGAGCGCCCCGACTGGGTCCCAGGCATATGGTGGAGGGAATGATATGTCGCAAGGAGGCCAGGGGGTGAGCTGCCGCCATCTAATGGTGAGGGTGGTGGATGGGGGGAAGGTGTTGTGGAGGGGGATGTTGTGGAGGGGGATGTTGTGGAGGGGGACAGAGGGACCTTTTTTCGTTGAGGCGTGTGATTTCCAGGGCCAGGACATGGAGGGAGCCTTTCCTTGCTTTTGGTGCATTTTGACGGCCGCTTGCGTGGTACGGCCTTCATGGTGGTATATTCCTTAGAGCGAGTTGCTGCCGTACGCAGGTGACGCTCCTGGAGCGCGCGCTGCGCCGCACGGCGCCCGCACCTGTGGCCGCGGGCGGCGGCAGCGGCAGCGGCAGCGGCGGCGGCGCCGCCAGCAGTCCTCCTCCCGGTTCCTCCGTGGAGCACCCCTTCAGCCCCCACCTGGAGTGGTGTCTGCCGCCTGTTGCCAGGCTGGTAGCGTGTATCCACGCCCTAGCTGACCCGCGGGTCAGGCCCTCCCTGGGTCCCCTGTCCCTGGTGAACGATATGGACGCCCTGGAGCGGGCGAGTAGGCTGGGGGAGGATAGGGACCTGGTTAAGGCAGTGGAGCAGCCCGAGCCGAGGTGAGCCGGATGGTGGGGGTGGGAAGGGGAGGGAAGGGGGTGGGTAGGAGGGGTTTGGAGCGG